CTGTGGAGAGAAATCAGTTGAAAGACTAAGACTTCCTATATTTTAAACAAATGTTGCGGTTCTTAATCTAGGTGAAATCCATTACTTAGTCTGACAATGTTGTCAATTCTGATGTGAGTCACAAGGAAAACATACAGCAAGACTGTAAAAGGCGACTAGGTTGAATGGGTTACTTATCACCTCTTGAAACACGAAATGTAACTGCTGTGTGTAAATGATTAAGGAGAATTTAGTGGTCCACTGTGTTTAAGGACAGAAAGGACTGATTGATAATAACAGTCAATGAGGGAACAAGTTCATCTCAACATTCCTAAATTCCTTAACAACTTTCGTAAGGACTGGATCTAAAAGAGCACAACTTCGCCGGCACACTAAATACAACTTCCTTAACAGAATCCTCCCATAGGAGCTCAGAATTAGAGAAAAATCATAAAGAAGTTACTTTAAAGGAATCACTCCAAGGAGTTCAGATACTGTTATAAATTGCAGCTGCATCAAACTCAAGAGTGAATATCAGATACTTAGAGAGGTTCTACATATGACAGTCATGGCTGTTGAAGACAAAGCAGCCACAGCTGCTGTAAATGAAACAATTGCAGCAAAGCACAATGGCTCATAAGGTCATGAGAGTAGCTCAAAAAGTAGCAGTATTCTCCAGATACATCATAACGTAATCACTATGTATGATTTTAAAATGTCAAGTTAGGAAAGCTTGCAGTTCCTTCAATGGAGTTTGCTTATACCCAAATACACAATTTATACAGCTGGTATTGTGCTACTGAAAGCATACACACCAACACAGGCATAAGGTCACACCGTGGATACCAAATCATTTCAAAGTAATTTTATTTGGACATTCAAAGAAAAAATAACGTAACCACGAAGGTATCATTATTAGACTGAACATGTGCATTGGACGTATTATTTCAAATTTCGCCAGTACCGGAAAGCGGTACGCTAGTTATAGGCATGCGTGGCTAGGCGCTTCATTCTGTTCTTCTCGTGTCTGTTAGCCCACTCGTCCTGTTATCATCGTACCGGTTTCATTAAAGCTTCAGTTGTGTTACGGATTGTGTCATCGGGTTACTTCTACTTCATTAATTGGTGTGGTGGGAACTTCCTCGAACCTAAGTAAAGAAATCGACACCCAAATACAAGGGAAAGCATTCATTCCTAACGTAAGTACGTCGATACGTCAAACATTTTTCGTCGTTCGTGCTCGATTCTCTCGTAAACCCAATACACAACAACAGCCATGGCTTCTTCTCCACCAGCCTCGAAGCAGTGGAGTGTCTCAAAGAACAATGCTATAAACAGCTTAGAGAATTGGAGGCAAAATCTGGTCTATACCTTGTCACTCGACAGCAATTTCGCTCCGTTTCTCGCCAACAGCACCACGTGGGGAAAGAAGACTAAGACCCAGTCCCTGCACGGCTACAACAACAACAGAGAAACAGTACCACTCTCCAAACGCCTAACGGCCCAGCAGAAAGTAAATTTCCTGGAGCTCATCCTCGGGCAAATAACCAGCTATTATCCACTGATATCTGGGAATACCATAGTGAAGAACTTGACCTCTACCTAGTCTGTTTGAAACATGATACGCGCACAGGAGCGTATCATGTTTTAGATCACAGGAGCTCACTTTCTGGATTTCACCAACTTACATTTAGAAGCTGATAAGTACCAGAGAATCTCTTCCAAAGACTAACGGCCCTTATTGAGGACACTTTACTCTGTGCCAATAGCCTGTCCCACTAAGGTAAACTGACCACCGAAGACGAGGAACTCACTCCCACCTAGGAGAATTTCATTGTCCTGACCTGGCTTAAACTGATATATCCTGAGTTACCTAAGCTTGTAAAACAGAGGAACGGAACAGAATTAAGATCACGAATTCTAGCCTCAATAAAACCAGAAATATCTCAGGCCCTCACCTCCTTGCTTGACGAAATACGTACAGCTGACGACGCCAAGATTATGCGCACCATTGTGAGTAGCTACGTAAACCTACTGGCAGCAGAACTCCATACAAGGCGAACACACGACCCAACTGCCCAGCCAGGTCCTGTTGACTATGCAAACAAGCCAGCCAACCCAATAGTGGGCAGTGAATGCAGTTTTCTTCCAGAACAGGATCGCAAGTACATAGCCAAAGCTAGACAAATTGCCAACATCTTTGATGATCCCCTGAACCTGAGAGCAGACCCTGAGCGGATGAATCAGTCAGTGACACTGACGACACCAGATCAAGCCCAAGCACCCATGTCTTCCGCGTACAGGCTCACCAGTCACCATACTTGGACATGTTCTATTCACAGCACCCAGTGCACGTAACCATCGACAGTGGCGCCACAGGAAACATGATTCGTCACACCATCATCCAACATTTTGGTTGCCAGGTGACATCTAGTTCCCAATCCGTCCACCTAGCAGATGACTCATCTCCCCTGCACGTGTCAGTGAGACACCCTTATCATTTACCCGTGAAGGCCACAAGTTTACCTTCGAAGGCCTTGTTGTCGAAAATCTTGGTGTAGACATTCTGGCAAGAACCCCCTTTATGGAGTCTAATGATATCGCAGTACGCCCAGCTAAGCGCCAACTAATCCCTAAAGATGGAACTATCCAAAGCTCTGCAGCACATTGTGCCATTGTGCTGCATTCCCCACCCACCCCCACATCCACAACTGTCTGGCCTGGAGAGTTTCTAGAAGTTGAATTACCAGATGATGCAACTCCCGACTCTGTATGCATCAGAACCACAGACTGATGGCCCCTGCATAAGAAAGCTGACAGCTTCCCAACTGTGGCCGGTAGTCTTTCGCATCGCAGGAAAAATACGCATCCCCAACTTAAATCCTGAACCTCACTTCCTCAAATGGAACAAACATTTCTGTCAGGCACATGCCATCTACATACCAGAAGCCCACAGGGAAAATGTACAGCCACCAGTCTCATCGCAACCCAGGCCACCAGTACATCCGTCAACCACAAAACACTCTGCAAACGTGAGCTTTGACCCAGACAACACAATATCAGAGCAAAGTTTACCTCACTCTTGGATGAATACGACCACATCTCCAACCCAAACATCAAAGGCTACCCTGGCGCTGAAGGTCCATTCGAAGCCAGAGTAAACATGGGTCCTGTGGAACTCTCCAACAGAAAGGCAGACTGCCCAAGTATGCCCACCTACAACTACTGGAACTCCAACAGAAGTTTGATGTGCTTGAAGCATTGAGTGTCTTTAAACACCGCGAAGACATCAACATCCCCGTCGAGTACCTATACCTGCCCTTCCTCAACAAGAAACCCAGCCGCGGTTACCACTTAAGTCACTGCATTCGTCAATGTTGGTCTCTACAGCCAGCCCCAGCCATCGCTTATTCATGATGTTGACTCCACATTATGTCTTATTGCACAGTGGAAATACATCATCGCAACAGACTTGACTAGCGCATTCTGCCAGATTCCACTCTCACACAAGTCCATGAAATATTGTGGAGTTGCCACACAATTCTGGGGTGTACAAGTATATGCATTGTCTGTCATGGGCATGCCGGGCTCTGAGACGGCTCTTAAAGAACTCATGAGCTGAGAGCTCAGTGACCTATTGAAGGAAGGCATCATAGCCAAAATCGCAGATGATCTGTACTGCAGCAAAACTCCCCAGGTGACAATCCACAACAATACTAGGCTGGACTTGGAACTCTGGCACTTTAAGAGCCAGCCCACATTGCATCGCCACTTTTGCCTTCTGCCCCGAACCTGACACTGTTGCCTGAATGAGATCATTCATTGGAGTTTTCAAGAAGCTCTCCCACCTCATCCCTGGATGCTCTTTTGCCTGTGTTGAAGCGACAGGAAGGCCGGTGGCGGGGGACTTATGATCTATGTGAGGAGTGATATCCATTTCGTAAAAGTAAAATGTCTAAAAGGAATAACTCCAGAAGAGTGGGCTGCATTTAGAACAGAGACGATTATTCTTAAGGTCAAACTGGGCAGGGGTTGGATTGCAGTTGTAGGCGTTTATAGACCTCCATCAATTCCGAAACATCAATGGACTAGAGAGCTTTCATCTATTTTCGAAGAGGTCTCTACACTTACAGAGACTGTTTTCTACACTGGAGATTTCAACGCCGATCTGTTGAATCCAGACAAGCCTTTTTCGAAAGCCGATTAGCCCAAGGACATCTAATCATCAAATTGTTGACAAAAAGAATAATTTTCCTTTAAGAAATCTTTTAGACCTGATGGAAATCTTTGGTCTTGATTGCTTGATTACAAAAGCTACTCGAAAGACGAAAACATCAGAGACACTTCTTGATTTAATTTTGACCAGTAACAAGAAAAAGACATTGGTATCTGATGTAGTGGATACACAGATAAGTGATCATTTACTAGTCTTTACAATTCTACAGTCAAGAGCTCCAAGATCGCGCTCTCATAAAATTTGTGTATGAAGTTTTAAAAACTTCAACAGAGATAAATTTATTCAAGATCTACAAATGGCACCTTTCTCAATAGTCGAAGTGTTTGGTGAAGTAGATGACAAACTCTACGCCTTTGAACAATTGTACTACAAAATTCTGAATGAACATGCCCCTCTTAAGCAGACTATTGTTAGGGGCAACCAGGTACCATATACGACGGAACAATGGCGCAAGGCAATAAGGAACAGAAATGAATCATGGCGGCTATTTATGAGAGATCGGACGGACGCAAATTATGACCATTACAAAATTCAACGCAATATATGCACTTCTCTAAGAAGAAAGGCGATAAAAGAGCATTTTATGAAAAAGTCGTCCGAGCCTGAAAACCCAAGGGAGTTTTGGAATGCGTATCGACCCTTTCTTCATGGCAAAACAAACCAAGCAAATGACATCATTATCAAGGAAAACGATGTTGTTATAAGTGACAAAAGGGAAATTGCTAAAATATTCAATGTGCACTTTATTCAAATTGCTGACGATGTTCCGTTGATGAAAGAGACA